GGCCTGCTGACATGAGATTGCTGAATTTCCTGTGCCTGCCTTCTTTCCCAGTCTCCCGGAGTCATCTCCTGGCACATTAGGTTTTTTTAAAAATATATATTGTATTTTATTGATTTTTTACAGAGAGGAAGAGAGCGGGATAGAGAGTTAGAAACATCCATGAGAGAGAGAAACATCAGCTGCCTCCTGCACCCCCACTGGGGATGTGCCCGCAACCAAGGTACATGCCCTTGACCGGAATCGAACCTGGGACCTTTCAGTCCACAGGCTGACGCTCTATCCACTGAGCCAAACCGGTTTCGGCCACATTAGTTTTTTTTGTGTTGTTTTTTATTTTGTCTCGGAAAACTGAGCATGCGGGTTTGAGATGTGGCGAGAAACCAGCTTCTCCAATGTCAGAAATCAGCTGATGTTCTTAAGTGGAGCCGTCTTGGCTTCCCTCCTCCGGTGTCTTATTGATGAGAGGCAGTAAGAAGGGAGCGGCAGGAGCAGCTGTAGGGGTGCTTGATGTAGTCCATGGATGCAGGCCAGTGCAGTGGAGTACGGGTGGGACTGCCCTGTCCAGCTCTCACCCGCTCACTCTCCCTGTGGCGCTGAGATGACTGGGGTCTCCTAAATAGCAAGTCTTGGAAGGTGCATGTTCGCTCCACCGTGCTCATGGAGCCTGGTGTGCGACTCGCCTGCTCCTCAGCCATCTGAGCCAAGCAATGGGTCAGCCTCAGCTGCTTGCCCAGTCGGCGTGGATCAGTGGTTGAGCATCGACCTATGAACCAGGAGGTCACATTTCGATTCCCAGTCAGAGTATGTGCCTGGGTTGCAGGCTCGTACTGGGAAATGCAGGAGGCAGCCAATCAATGATTCTCTCGTCATTAATGTTTCTCTTCCTCTTCCTTCTCTCTGAAATAAAAAAAATTAAAAAAAAAAAACCCACAAAAAAACCCTCAGCTGCCACCTTCAGCTGGGTGACACCCCTAGAGAATCTTCATTTCAGTCTGATGTGTGTGTAAGTCTTTGCATCGCTGGTCATTACTCTTGGAATGTCTGTGCAGCTTTTACTGAATTGGTCTCTGGGGTTTTGGAGAGGAAAGCACACACTGTGTTGGTGGGAATTAGTAGCTGTGATTTGTTAGGAGTTACACACGGAGTGCTGTCTGTTGGGTGGGAATGATTGGCTCTGCCTTCGTAACCCTCAGTACAGTGGCGCCACCCTGAGCTCAGAGTGAGTTTTGAGTGAGTACATTGGCTTGAGATGGAAACAGGAAACAGTAGAACTGGTGTTCCCTAGGTCAGCACCAAAGTCTTAGGATTAATCCCACCAACATAAATAAGTTCTGTTTGCCCTGGCTGGTGTTGCTAAGTGGTTAGTGCATTGGCCCTAGCAAAGAAGGATCACGGGTTTGCTCCCTGGTCGAGTGCACACATCTGGATTGCAGGTTCCATCCCGGGGCACATGCAGGAGACAACTAATTGATGTTTCTGTCTTATATCAATGGCTCTCTCTTTCTCCCTCCTTCCTCCCCCTTCCCTCCCCCGCCCTTCCACTCTCTCTAAAAATCAATGGGAAAAATATCCGTGGGGGAGGATTAACAACAAAAAAGAAAGTTCTGATTTGCGGGTACCAAGGGGAGCTCACAGTGCACACGATGGTCATTATTCGACAGGGCTCTTCGGAGCTGGTTTCTGGGAAGCAGGACTCTGTCACCGGGGCAGGCTGATGCCTGGATTTACATGTTTGCTCCAGCAGCAGTAAATGGTACCCTCCCAGTGGGAGAAGGTACCTGATGGAGCACTGTGGTGCAGCGCCTCTGCTGGCCTGTGCTGGGAGTTACCCAATCTTATTTTAACAAAATGTATACTTTGAGACACCTTGGAGGGACCTGGAGAGTATTATGCTAAGCGAAATAAGCTAGTCAAAGAAAGACAAGTATTACATGATCTCACTCATATGTGGAATCTAATGAACAAAATGAACTAATGAACAAAATAGATCCAGAGACATAGAAGCATAGAACAGACTGCGGAATCTCAGAGGGGAGTCGGGGGAGGGTAGTGGGAAGAAATCAAAGACCTCGTATGCATATACGCATAACCCAAGGACACAGACAATAAGGTGGTGAAGGCTTGGGTGGAGGAAAGCAGGGGGAGGCTAGAAGGAGTCAATGGGGGGAGGGGGAGAAGGGGACATATTAATACTTACAGCAACAAAGATTTAATTAAAAAAATTGTTATAACAGTCAGATTGTTTAATTTTCACAAGAAACATATTCAGTGAAGAGCTTGTGTAAAAAAAGAACTGAAAAACAATGTTTTTAAAAAAAGGCTTTATTCCATATAGCCTTCTGAGCACGGTCATTATATTCCAATTCAGTGAAGAAGCAAGGCCTCTGGAGGCTCACCCACTTATCAGATTTTCATTTCTTTTCAGAAATGGCTTAGACGCAATGTTATTTGGTCCAACTGTGAATTTGTATTGATTTTGGGGGATTTGGCCAGGTGTTCTTTATCTAAGCCTGCCTCCTGCCCCATCACACCCAGACGTGCTGTGCACCAGCAATATTCCCAAGTATTTCAACAAAAATCTGGTGGTGTCTTGAGAAAAATCACTTTCATGACTTATTAATGAACTAGCCAGAAATCATTTTCACTGGGTTCCTTTACCCAATTTGTCACAGAATGTAATTTAAGAAGAAAAAATTAATGGAGTGATTGAAGTTCTTTTTGGAATAATCATAGCATTCAAGGATCCCCACACCCATGGACATGGCAATTGCCAACGTGTCAGATTTCCCCTTCAAGACAATTAGCTCAAATCTCTTCTTTAATACACGGGGTGGGGGTGGGGTGAGGGGGGGGGGCTCGCTCTCTGCCACTCAGATCCACTCCTCCCTGTTCCAGGGGCCTGATTGGTGGCTCGAGGCTGCTCTGTGTAGACCGTACCCAGTGGGCCTCTGCCCGCTGGCACCCGTGGGTTTCGGTAATGTAGAATGGGAGGTAGAGAGAGAGATCAGGATACACATATATTTTTATTGATTTCAGAGAGGAACGGAGAGGGAGAGAGAGAATCATTGATTGGCTGCCTCCTGCACACCTGCAACTGGGGATTGAGCCCGTAATGCAGGCATGTGCTCTTGACCAGAATCAAACCTGGGAACCTTCAGTCTACAGGCCAATGTTCTATCCACTGAGCCAACTCAGTCAGATATATCTATATATCTCCTCACCCACTTAGAGAAAGAGAGAGAAACATCAATGTGAGAAACATACATTGATTGTCTTCCATAAGCACCCAGCCCAGGGATGGAACCTGAAACCCAGGCAGGTGCCCTGACAGGGAATTGAACCAGTAACCTTTCAGTACACAGGACAACACTCAACCAACTGAGCCACACCGGCCAGGGCTGAGATTAGAATATTTTAATCCCTGGCTCTCTTGCCGAGGGCCCTGCACCAGGCCACATTCCTCAACTGGTATGCAGCCCCTCTTCTCCCATTCCCTCTCAGGCCATCACCAGCCCCTGGACACTGCTCTACCCACTCTGTTACCCTACAGGCTGTCAACACCTATGTACGTATTTTATTTATTAAATTCCTAAGTGACCCTAATTGGAGTGTGCCTTCTGCTTTGTGCGGGGCCATAACTGATGCAAATAAGCATTTGATCCATGGAGACAACAAATAAAAGCAGTACTGGCCTTTGGTTAGCAAAGATAAAGGGCCAAAGTAGCCCAGTTGAAGCATTACCGTCTAAATTAGGGGTGTCGAACTCAATCAGAGAAGGGGCCAAAATCTAAAATCCAGCCTAAATCGCGGGCCGAATGGTTTACTGAACAGTCATAAACTGTCATTGTGATAGAAACGCAGCGGAGTGCAGTGATGACAGCGCGGTGCTGGCCACATTGCAAGGCCTGGCGGGACGGATTTGGCCCGCGGGCCTTGTGTTTGACACATGTGGTCTAAATTTCCAGCCCGAACCTTCCTTCAGGAAACCTGCCCTTCTGCCTCTGTGAGTGCCACCCCATCGCAAGATGGTTTTACTCTTTGGGATTCAAAGTCCTGGGCCTCTGCATGTCAGGCTGGTAGTGCCCCAAGATTGCTTTGGCATGTATTTTGCAAAGTAACAGACTTGGATCCAGCAGGGGAGAGATCTGAAAGCCACAGGGTGTGGAATGCGAATCATCGATCCTCCCAGTGTGTCTCTAACATGGCCCTATTACTTCCCAATTCACATCTGGCACATGCATTTTACGAAAAAAGGAAAGGATTGATGAATGTTGCTATGGAATGTTGGTGTCCCCTCAAAATTCACATGTTGAAGCCCCAATCCTCCAATGTGATGGTATTTGAAGATGGGCCTTTGGAAAATAATTAGGGTTAAATGGGGTCATAAGGGTGGGGCCCTCAGGATGGCATTAGTGGCCTTGTAAGAAGAGACACCAGCAAGCTTGCTACTCCCCACCTGGGTTCACACACAAACAGGTCATGTGAGCAAACGGCACGATGGTGGCCGCCTACAAGCCAAGATCAAGTGCCTTCTATGAAAACCACTGCGCGGGCTTGGACTTGAACTGGACTTTCTAGCCTTCCGAATTGTAAGAAATTGAATGTGTTGGTTAAACCCATCAGACTATGGTATTTCATGATGGCAGCCTGAGCCAAGACAAACACGCAGATGCTTTACCCAACCTGCCATCTATGTGATCCTATAAAAGTGACCCAGTCCGTGGTCACTTTCTTTTTTTTTTTGAAATTCCTGTTTTGGCAATTGCTCCTCACAGCCCACTTTAATATTTCAACAAAGGCAATGGGGGCTTATTGGCTGAAATTCAAGCTGTGAAGGCCACTGTGTCTTTTCAGACGGGTTGAACTCGGAGATGAGCAGATTTTTGCAATTATTTTGCCAGTGTAAAGATCCCTTTGGCTATGCACGCTGAGAGGGCTGGCCCTTCGGTCCCCTTCCTAAATGGAATCAGGAAGCGCTCACAACGATGCCAGGCGCCGGCGGCTGTACAATCTCCTTTTTATTCTGTGTGCTTTTTTATAGGATATAAATAATGACAAAAATTACAAAATTTATAACTGGAAGCCCAAGCATATTTACATGTATGTTTCTGTTTCGGCAAAGCTACTAATCACTTTGCTCCTATACAGTTTTCCTTTTGGTACCATAGATATGTTATTTTTACTTTCCATTTTCTACATACATATCGACAGTGATTAGGCAAAATATGTACAAGGAACTGTTCAGTTCAAGTAATTTAATATTGTATTAAAATTCTTCCACACTGAACTGAAGCCATATACATTTGTCAGTTTGAAATAAAATGTAGTTATCTTCCAAAAACTCACCAACTGATGAATGGAACTGATATCCTCAGGTTTAAAATCATATTGGTTAATTAAAAAAAAAAAAAAGCAACATTAAGACAGTCCCACAATTTATCAATATCTCTATAATGAACTTCAAAATGATTCACAATATGATCAGTTAGAACAATATACATTAAAACGTTATTTTTTTTCTATAATGATATTGGTACTGTATATAATTTGATTCTACATAAATATACATTATGGTATTTATCATACAAATACTCCACAGAGACATTAAAAAAAGTAAAATAGCTTAATGAAATGTAAGTAAATTTCATTTAATCAAATAGTAAGCAAACATTATTTTTTTTCTGTTTCAAGAAAAGAGTTTATTACTTTGGAATCTCTTCTTTTTTTTTTTTTTGTATTTATTTTTTTCTAGAAAACAAATTTTTGCAATAGAATTTTATTAACACCTTTCTCAAACAAGTTTCCCATGACAGAAATCTTGACAGCAGGAGCCCTAGATTTTTTTAATTTTTTAACATGTTCTTTAAAACACTGTGAAGATTTAGAAAAACAATCTCTGCAGGCTTATGGCTGCGTCAGCACTTTGGGGGGGGACTCCCGTCTGCTTGCCTGAATCTCCTGCCCTCGGGAGGGTCGCCAGGGCCTTCCCACGCTCAGCCTGCCCTCTTGGGCGTCAGCAGTAGAAATTGAGTTACTTGAAATGAAGCCGGAAACATCCCTCACAGCGAACTCGTTTGCTTATCAGTGCATGAACGAAACATCTTTTTTAGTAAAAATATTGAATACAAGACACATTTCCCTGTGCATCATAAATTTCTATGCTTTAAATCATTCGTAAATTTTGAATCAGTCTGTAGATGTGAAGGTTTTCTTTAGCCGACACAGTTGATGACATAAAAAAACCACAAATATAGAAATTGGGAGGCAGGGTGTCCTGGCCACTATGGAGGGTGGTTTTTGTGGCACGAAAGGATGCTCAGTGATAGAAACTCTACAGATGCTCTGTGGGGGCTGTTCTGTTCTGATTCTACCTTTAAAACTGCGGACAGGGAAGAACCCAAGATGTTTATACTTTTAGGCAGTATTAGAGATCCCCTGCACTTTTTATTTTTATTTTTTATTTTTAAAGATGTTTATTCGCCCGACAGCCAAGCAAGTGCGGGGGCCAAGTCATTAGAAATACCTCGGGTGGTGACCGGGAGGGGAGTCGGGAGCCCGCAAAAAAAAAAAAAAAAAAAATCTCAGCTCGTGCCTCTCAGGGTTTCGGCTGCGCTTTCTGTCCCTGGTGCGGGAAGAACGTCCCCAGGAATGGCCGGCGGCCTTTCGCCTGTGACAAGGCCACACAAGCCGAGCGGTCTTCCTCCCGGGCTGGGTGGGGACGGAGGCGGGAAGGGAAGCCTGCTCTGGGCTGCTCGGCGTGCAAGGCACCGCGAGGGCGGGAGGACGGTGGGTATCAGAAGATCGTGGTCTCATACTTGGTATTAATGCCCCGCTTGGCTTCTTGTCCCGGCTCCACGATCCACGGCAGGTTGGCCAGAGTCTTTTGCTCAGAGGGGTCGATCTGCTTTGAGAGAGAGAGGCTGATGCCTGTTATGCGGTACCTGTGCGGGGTGCGGGCACGCAACCTACCGCTACTCAGAGGCCAGCACCGCCCTCTCCCAACCCCCCTCCAGGACTTCAGGGCTGCTGTCTGAGAGCATCATGTATTTGCTCTTTCGACCACATTTACTGCATATGGACCGAGTGCCAGGCACTGGAGAAGGGACGGGGAGTGAGATGCGGGCCTTGTTCCTGAGGGCACAGGGTTGGGGAGCAGACAGGGCAACCCTCACGGAGGGGTGAGGTGGGAGGGGGAAGGGTGCTCTGTGGGCCCGCAGGAAAGCCACGGGCCCCACGTCGGGGAGCCAGGGGGCCTCCCAGGAGGCGGTAATGCCACTCCCTGATTCTCAAGCCTCCGATGGTTTCCATCCCAGAATAAACCCCAAGTCCTCAAGGTGACCTGCAGGCGGCCCGGCCTGCTTGGCTCCAGCCACCCCGGCCCCCAAGCCCTGAGCCCTGGCCAGGGGCCTCCGCTGCTCTGGCTGCTCCATCTGCTCTGAGGCATGCTCTCCAGAGCCCTGCCTGCCTTATGTCCTAACGGCATTCAGGGGGCAGCTCGAACAACCCCTCCTCACCACGGGCCCGATCCAAACGGTGCCCCAGCTTGCTGGCTCTCTCTCCTCTTACTGTTCTGTGTAATCCTTCGCCGCACACATCCCATCGCTTCTGCTTATTTGTCATGAAGACGGGGTTTGGCCTGTTCTGCTCACTACTTAGAAACGCTCCTGGCAGCCCAGTTTAACAGAAGGCACGTCCTATGTACTCGCTGAACAGGAGGAGCGTGAGAAGAATGAGACGACGTGTAAAAGGAGAGCCGAAGGAAAGCTCTGAGTAGGTCTGGACAAGGCAGGGGAGAGGGAACAGCATGGGCAAAGCCCCCGAGGGAAGGGGATGTGGCCCGTGTGGGGTTTCTAGGAGGCCATACGGAGCAGAAGCCAGTTGGAACATTCCAGCTGCTACGAGACAGACGCTCTGAAGGCCAGCAGGTCTGTCAGACAGGGTGTCTGCAGAGCTCCTGGGAGGCAGTGGGTTGGGGTGGGGGGATTACTAGAGGAAGGCAGAGGACGAGGGGGAGGAAACCAGGGGCCAGCCATCTAGACTTCCCAAAACCCCAAACTCAAGAGTCAGTGTAGCTCTGCTCTGAGTGCCCACAACCCATGCATCCAGCTTCCTCTGGGTAGAGTCACCTTCACCGGGAACCTCTGCCAGCCTCCCTCCAGGCCAGGGGCTCTCGGAGGCTTTCCCGGGTGGGAGGGCTCCCAGAGGCTCAGGGAACAGTTCCCATGCTGGGATCTTCGGGAAAGATTCTCCAGGACAGTGGAGGGCCCGGCCCCTCCTGGCGGCCCGAGACAGAGGGGGCGGCGCTTTCTTGGGAGCCCGCAGGTTCAGGCAGATGGCCCCCCGCCCTGCTTTCCAGGACCTGGGCTGAGAGGATGGCAGCCACGTGCCGGGAGGAGGCCAAGGCCAAGGTGAAGACAGGCAGGTCCTGAGTCTAACCCACACCCCTTCCCAGGGGGCAGCCCCGCGCCCTCTGGTCCATGCTCTCCCAGCATCCGCACCCTCTCTACTTACCACGGACTTGCGGATGCTGACGCGGGGCTTGGGGATGGGCTTGGAGGGCTTGTTCTCAAAGCTTTCTGGGAGCGTGGAGGAGTGGCCCCCTTTCCTGGCCTGCAGTGCGAGCTGGTAAGCCACTTCAAACGCCTGTCCCAGCGTCAGGATGATCTCGTAGGCTAAATTCTGCAAGAGAAACCGGAACGCGTTTATGATGGTGCGCCGCAGACTGGAGAAGCCCAGTGGCTGAGGGGCCTGTGGGGGTGAACCAGCGGGGACCTTGAACTGCTCCAGCGGCTGTGGCAGTGAGGATGCACATGTGTGGACAAGGGGACACTCGGGGTCCAGCTTAGGGTCTACACCAGGATTGAGTCCCTGATGCCATGCACTTGTTTTTATTTTTTAATTAAATATATTTTATTGATTTTCCACAGAGAGGAAGGGAGAGGGATAGAGAGCTAGAAACATCAACCAGCTGCCTCCTGCACACCCCTACTGGGGACATGCCCGCAACCAAGGTACATGCCCTTGACCGGAATTGAACCCGGGACCTTTCAGTCCACAGACTGATGCTCTATCCACTGAGCCAAATTGGTTTTGGCTAGGCACTTGCTTACAGCCGAGCTAAGGAGCCTACTTCCCACTGCTCCCCGCCCCAGCCCCGGGCCCCGAGCCCACTCCATTCGGAGCCCCCGTGGGCCGCTGGCAGGCTCCCCAGGCTGGGGAAGGGAAGGGAAGGGGCTCCTCTGGCCTGATGCCTGAGAGTGCCCAGCCCTGCCCCCGACAGCCCCACACGCTCCACGGGAGGTGCTCCTCAGAAGTTTGGATCTCTTTTACCTCCAACATCTGTGATTCAGCGAACATCTCGGAAACACAATCAGAATCTAATTTAGGCGGAGGGAGAGGCGTTAGTCATGCCGGCGGGCGGCTCGCAGTCCCAGCAGCCAGCGTGCCAGCAGAGCCAATTATCCATCTACTTCTCGAGGCGTTTGCTCTCCCCGGGGGGATGGGGAGTCCACCCCATATTTTATCATCAAATCGGCAAGAGACAGGAGATTCTGTTAGGCCCCAGCTCCACGCCAAGCCTGGCCAGGAAGAAGGCTCTTTCCTTCCGACCTTCAATCACTCCCTCCAGGCAACTTCCAGTTCCCCTTCCTCTTCTCCCCGGGGTGAGTCTTTGATTTCTGCCTTCCTTTCTGAGAACAGCTCCTCCCCGCCTTCTCTCCCTGAGAAAGCGGGACACTGTCGGGCCCCAAAGAGGCAGGGTCTGGACAACCCCCCACCTGAGGTCATGGCCCATTCAACGTAGGTGTCCCCTGACCACAGAGCGCAGTCCGTCTGTTCCAGGTTTTCATCCTGATGAATGTCCCTGGACATCTGTCTATGGTTTTCTTTTTCTTTTTCTTTTCTTTCTTTTTTTTTTAAAATATATATATATTTTATTGATTATCCACAGAGAGGAAGGGAGAGGGACAGAGAACTAGAAACATCGATGAGAAACATCAACCAGCTGCCTCCTGCGCACCCCCTACTGGAGATGTGCCCACAGCCAATGTACATGCCTTTGACTGGAATCGAACCAGGGACCTTTCAGTCTGCAGACCAGCGCTCTATCCACTGAGCCAAACCAGTTTCGGCTGTCCATGGTTTTTCAAAAGCACAGAAAGAGCGTTCTGCTTATGCGATTTCCTCCCCCTCCTTCCCATTTCCCCCCAGTTGAGCGCACAGAATAACTGAGTTCCCATGAGTCTCAGGACTGATCCCACTTGATGAAGACATAGTGGGCAATGCCGGATGGCTTTCTGAAGCCACATGGAAGGGCTGTGGGTTTCTGGATCGACCAGATTTCCGATCGATGCCAGACTGGCTCGCTCGGTCTTAGACCCGAACTTGGAGCGTGAGAGTTCATTCGACAGAGAACATCTTCTCTTTGGAGCTACCCGTTGGGAAATGCTGGCCCCACGTGACAGGGGTGGACTTCCTGGAGACAGTGAACCTCACCCAGCCAGCCAGGCACTTCCTGCAATGCACACCCAGCCCGCCTGCCTCCCAGGATGAGTCACGCTGGGAAATGAGTAAGGCGTCCACAAATGATCGTGGAGGAGGGCAGAGCCCTCCCCCTGCCCACACACTGGGGCTCTGAAAGGCGGCCAGGGGCTGCTGGCTTCTGTAGTCTCGGCAGGAAGTCTGGGCTCTTGCACTGGGTGCTCCACCATGGGGAGGGTTGAGGTCTAGCTGGCAGGGGTACGGAGCAGACGTGTGTGCTCTGGGTCAGCGGCTGAGGGGAAGCCGGCAATTCAGGGATTGTACACCGTCAGCTTTCAGATGCTGGAATGGAGGGCTGAGTGAGTGTGAACTCCTCTATCACCAACGGAAACACAAGTTCCTCCAAGAGGGCGTTCCTTAAAGCTCCGGCGTCTTCACACCAAAGTCCAAGATGCTCCTCTGAGCAAGTGCGATTTCTCACAGGCCTATTACGGGACAGTGCTGGGCCAGAAGCTCTGCTCCTCCGTGTTTAATTAGTTTCCTGGTGTTAGAAAGCTGCCCAAATAAAGACACAGCAACCAGACTGACTGTGGGGCGGAGGGTGCCTGCCAAATGGCCTCTCCTGGTTTGGCCTGCGTTGTCCCCGGTGTCTTGCTTTCTGCTCTGTTTTAGAATGCGTTGCAGAGTTCTTCCTTCATGATTATGTGCCGGTACAGGACATCGTTCCCTTTCCTGTACTTCCTCATCTCCCTGTGTGAGGTACGGATTCCGGAGGGCAGGGAGGGCCCAGGGGTGCGCGGTGCAAGGAGCAGCGGGCGGCAGGCTGGGTGCTGTGCCACCGACCCGCCAGGGCCCCGAGCGGACACACGCTGGTCAGATGGGACCTGGGACACACTCCGACCTGGGGAGGCAGGCTCATTTCTCCTGGTTCTCCTTAGTAACAGCCCCACCCCTTAAAGAGGGAAGAGAGCAGGGACAAGGCCAAAGATAATGTTGAAATATCCAAGAGGCGTAGGTGACAAGCCCACCGATGCCTGCTGGCACTGACCAGCCCACTGAAAATGCTTTAAAAAAATATTTTATTGATTTTTTACAGAGAGGAAGGGAGAGGGATAGAGAGCCAGAAACATCGATGAGAGAGAAACATTGACCAGCTGCCTCCTGCACACCCCCCAACTGGGGATGTGCCCACAACCAATGTACATGCCCTTGACTGGAATCGAACCTGGGACCTTTCAGTCGGAAGATTGAGGCTCTATCCTCTGAGCCAAACCGGTTTTGGCGACAAGGCTTTCTAACACCAGGAACTACAATAATTAAAAACCTGAAAGCCCAAATGGTCTCTGCTTGCAAACGTGCTGTCCTTGCCCCTGTGGGGAGATCAGAGCCTGAGACTGTGCCTGGCACTCTGCAGGCATCTCACAGCTGCTTGCAGGATGAAGGAATAACAGAGTGATAGACCAGAGGAATAACACTACTAAGATGTTACCATATGCAGTGTACCTACTCTGCAGGGAGAACTCGGTGTTAGGTGCCGTGCAGAGCACTACAAGGATCTCATTTAAGTCTTACCATAAGCACCTGTGGTAGAATATCCTTATCCTTATTTTATAGATAAAAAATTGAAGCTCAGAGAGGTTAAGTAACTTGCCTGACATCACACAGTTAGAAGACTACCAAGCTGTTTGTGACTGTTTGTGAACCGATGTTTGTGACTCAGAGCCCATGTTCTCAGCCCTCCCTTTGTGGCCACTGGTCTCCAGGCTGCCTGACACATTCCCCACGGGGAGGGCACAGCTGCTCCTCCGCCTCCTAGAATCTGAACGGGCTTCGCTGACTCCCACCTAGCAGAGTGTAGCAGGAATGGTGCGCTGGGCCTTTAAGATTAGCAGGGAGTCTGGCAGCTTCCACCTGCGTCTCTGGGAACACTGGCTCCGAGGGCAATCAGCCGCAGGTAAGAGATCTGAACGCATGAGATTGCAACGCTGGGAGGATGTCCGAGCTGGGCGGCTGCCTGGGGGGCAACAGCAGCCATCCTGGCCCAGGCTTAGTACACCAGGGAGGAGTCACCCTGGACACTGAGCTGCAGGAGGACCTCAGGCTCAGACAGATGTCTCCTGTCGAGCTGCCCCAGCACCTGCCGCCACCTGAGCCACCCCCGCAGAGGCCCCTGGTATTGTCTGGCAGAGCAGAGCCGAACTGCCGTGTTCTGCCCAGATTCCTGACTCATGGAATTGTAAACACAATAAAACAGGTGTTGTAGCCCAGCAAGTGTGGCTCATTGGCTAAGCATCGACCGATGTATGAATCAGGAGATCACGGTTCCATACCTGGCCAGGACACATGCCTGGGTGGTGGGCTTGATCCCCAGTAGGAGGTGTGCAAGGGGCAGCTGGTCAAGGATCCTCTCTCATCATTGATATTTCTCTCCCCCGCCCCTTCTTGCTCTTTGAAATCCATACAAATATATATTTTCTGAAAGGGTGTTGTTTTATGCCATCAATTTTGAGGTGCTGTGCAAGCACCCACAGGTCACTGGAGCACCACGCAGTCCTGAAGAAGGCTGGTGGGACCCTTGTCCAGGCAGCGGGAGGAGGCGCCTCAGTCTCGGAGCTGGGATGAACTGGGTGGTCACAGGAGGCCAATCCTGAGACTCGGCTCCAGCCCTGGCTGCAGGAAAGTGGCTGACGCCTCCAGCCCTCCTGGTCACAGGGCCCAGCAAACACTAAGGGGTCCCTTTCCACAGGCGACAAGCCACAGAGCCGGAGCAGGGCCTTTTAGGTGGCATAGTGGGCCTCTCATGTCTCATTACTACCTCCCTCCCTTGGGTATAAATGCGAACTCACTAACCCCGCCTCCCTCAAATGCTCAGACTCGGCGGTCTCTGGCCACACTCCCTCTGCTCCTCCTTGCTCATTGGAAAATTCCTGCGATGGCATTTCCAGCGAGTCTCTTTCTAGATTCACACTTACTCTGGCACTTGGCCTTGCATATTTCCTGCCTCACATGGACCACCAAGGAAAGGAGGCGGCCCAGGTGTGTGCGTGTTTGGTACGGGAGTGTTTGGTACGGGTGTGGGGGGGTGATGACTGGAGAGAGCATGCATTGAGCCTCAGTTTCCTTATCTTCAAACGGGGATAATGACGTATGTAGTGCCTGCCTCACTGGATTGTTCTGAGAATCACTCAGGGTAACAGTTA